GCCCCAGCCGCTGGTATTATACAATTCCAAATTACTACAAAAAAAAATAACAAAAAAAAAAAAAAAAAAAAAAAAAAAAAAAAGCAACACAAAACAAACAAACAAACAAACAAACAAAGTTAGGGAAATATCTACAAAAGAACGTCCGAGTTTTTGTCTGATTGCTTCAATTTCTTTGCAAGTCTGACTTAGCAGTTTACCGTCTCCGGTACTCGCACAGAGAATGCATATTAGAGCATACAATGTCTGAAAGTTATCTAAATCTTGTAATCCGGGTGTCATTTGAAAGGGCACATGTTCCTCTATGTATGCATATAAGCTTCATATCCATATTGGCACTAGTTAGGGAATTATCTGCAAAAGGAAGTGCAGGTTCTTGTCTGACTGATTTATATTTTAGCGTCATTCTGACTTTGCGGTATACCGGGTCATGTACTAGAAGAGAGAATACATATTTGAGCTTAAAAGGTCTCAAAATTATCTAAATCTTGTAATCTAGGTGTCATCTGAAAGGGCACATGTTCTTCAACATATTCATATAAGTTTCGTATCCATATTTACAATAGTTACGGAAATATCCACAAAAGGACGTCCGGGTTTTTGTCTGATTGGTTCAATTTTTACGCAAGCCTGACTAAGCCATTTACCGTCTCCGGTACTCGCACAGAGAATGCATATTTGAGCATAAAAGGTCTCAAACTTATCTAAATCTTGTAATCTTGTTATCATCTAAAAGGGCACATGTTCCTCTATCTATTCATATAAGTTTCATATCCATATTTACAATTGTTAGGGAAATATCTGCAAAAGGACGTCCGAGTGTTTGTCTGATTGCTTCAATTTTAGCGCAAGTCTGACTTAGCAGTAAACAAAGATTTCCCCAAACCAAATTGCGCCCTCCTTCTGTGTCCGCCACACCTACAATCGGCTAACATGAATAAGCCAACATCTATCAACACAATGACAAGCCGCTTTCACTTTCTTCTGCACTCTATCTTTCAGGCAATCATCCAGTTACGCTTACCGCAGCCGACTTTGGACAAGCACTCGTACAGAGTGCTGCTCCGGATGGCGGAGAGACCGCTACGGGAGGTGTTCTATACGTAAGCGAGCGTGTTATACCGAATACACTTCAATAAATATCTGATCC